TCTTTCAGTGACATGAAGAATCTCAGGTTACTGTGGGATATTTGAGCGCATCGTTTGAAGAGATTTATTCAAAAATCATGCTTGCAGTTTAAGTTAAAGGGGTGCTGTCTGAATGGTTACCTGTTAACTGTAGATTTCCTCAGGGAGATGTGCATCCATCTTTGCTATTCAACATTATTCTCGACTTTCTTCTCCGAAGCATGGGTTCCTTTCATATATGAGGGTTTCATTTCAGAAGGTAGGTGTAGTTGAAGGTATTCGGCGACAGATGTTATTGTCCTGGAGTTCGTTCTTGGTAAGTCCTAGGACGAGCGAATTCTGTCTGACGTAAGGGCTTCAGTATGCAACGTAGCTGTTATGGCCGGCCTATTGCTTAACACCTTGATGTGAAAAGTGACGATTACTCCATCTGGCATAGCTGATATGCAAGTTGAACCGATGGTGAAACGGATGGGTGGTTGACCAAGTTAGTACCTCGGCTTCCTCATCATCCGCGATCGTACGATCAGGTATGAGTTAAATAACGGATCGCTCGTCCTGCGTCCAGCTTTGTTGGCAACCTGGACAATACATGGATTGAGAAACGAGTATCCTTTTCAGCAAAAATCCGTCTGTATCGTGACTCAGTTAATACACTGTTGTTGTAGGGCATGGTGAATATGACTCTAATTAATCACGAACAACGACGTTTGTGAATGGCATATAGCTGCGTTTGCTCGAACACAGAAAGAGGCTGAAATAGGAGGGCATGGCATGGAATTAGTCTGTTCCATTTCAGGCAGAGTTGATCTGAGTTGGTATGAAGGTTGGTGTTGTTAGGCAAACCGGTTCAGCATAAATTGTTTACTCCGGACTATGAGGTTTTCGTGCAGGATTCGAAACGCGGCAGTCGTCGTTCGGGAGGTAGAGGCAGATGTGCTTTCAGAGAAGAATTGTTTTACAACTAAAATGTTAGAAAGGCGCAAATGTAGAGGAATTCAGAATCCGGATGCGTTCTGCGCATACAAACGATTCAAACAGATGGTCTGAAGGAAAGTTACAGATTTCACCTTATGAATATAATATCAGTACGTTCGGTTCTGCATAATTCAATACGCAGTTCTGAAAAATAATTACGCTATTTGCTTTTGCATCTGCTGCCTGTGCCACCTAGTATTCTTTAAGGCTCGGTTCTTTTATGCTGTTATGCTTAGCAATATGATGGGAGGCAGAGATGTCTGTCGGCTTACAGTGCACTTTTAAGTGACTTCAGTTGCTTTTTCCACAGTCAGGCGTCATGCAATACAGAACGCTTTAAATTGTTCGGAAATCTGGAACCGCTCAAACTTAAATCTTGTGAATGCTGTTTGAATGAATATGTGGTGATTCTAAATGACTATATAATTGGTAAGTGAATAACCGGTGATATTAACTGATAGCATTCGTATTTCCGATATCAATGTTTACTCCATTATGGAAATAAGTATGTATTTTCGCCCAACTTTAAGAATGAATTTTCTGAACTTCGATTGTAACGAATACTGAGGTTTGTGGTGGTTGTTTGGGGTAGCGCCCTCCGTCTCGATATCTTCGCGCAGTATTTGTATTTTTATTTAGTAGCCAGTTCGCTAGCCACTGATTTTTCTACCTCAGAAGAACGAAAGGCGAGTAACTAAATTCCGGAGTCGGATCCTCGGGCCGAACTAATAGAAAACACATCGCTTCTAAAATTGAACGTTTTCGACAAATAAATAACTTCCTTCAAAATTGCCAGTGAGGAAACCGCAACAGTGGTGAAAAAACATTTATTTAACAGCCTTCTTCAGCCAAAATGCCTCAAGGCGAATTGACTCGAAACTAGCTCCTACTTTCTGTAACTATTTAATACACTTTTCTAAAAATTTTCGAAGTAATGTTGACAATAAACAACAAGGTGGTTTAACTTACGAAAACATTTATACGTTTAACACGATTCTTATAACGAATGACTCCCCAAAACCAAACTTCACGGCTTATTGCGTCGTCTCTTTGCACCCAGTTACCTGTGGGAGGGGGCATTTAAGCAGGCCGGTGCCTGATGGTATCTGAGCACTGGTGGTGCCAGAGGTACTTCTTATCCTTCTGCCTGCTAAAGTCATTTCACGTCGATTATGATGTTTTAAGCGCTGGTGCTTCTTAGATACTGTCGCAAGGAGGCGGTGCCGTACCCCGTGAAATCTGGTTTTAACGGAGTGGTTTGTTATTTGACATACTCGGGCGTACGAACAGCTCATAACGATTATGCTGTAGGGATGATCTTACAGTATTTCTCGGTGCTGTCAGGTACGAACTGCACTTTAAGGGTATTAGCCTCGGTAGTACATGCTGCTTCATGGCTTCATTTGAATGCCAACATAATTTTACGCCAACGTCTTTATTTTTTCATATTCGCTACTGAATTTCAAATGCCTCTTTTATCTTTCGGTTTAGAAAGTTTCGCTTTCAGTGTATTCTTTTCGTTTGTCCCATAATATGTAGTGACATTCTTGTACTGCATGTTCCAGCCGCTGAGGTTCGTTTCGAATATTTCCTTCACCTCCTACTGATCTTTCGTTTGTCTTCGTTATTTCTGTTTCAGTGCTTGTTCATTCTGACATACATCGACGATGCACTATCTTAGGTTGTTGAAGTGTTTTCTCGTCTATGGAGTTACCATCTTTTCCTAGTAATTAAGGTCACATTCACGGGGTAGAGACGCATCTAGCTTTCTTGTTTGGATTATGGTTCAGTGGTTTTGACGTGCATGCGCTGGCTCTGTAAAATTTTTTGTGAATATTATTCATTATCTGTATACACGCCGTATTCCACGCTTTCTGGCGATCCTCGGTAGCTTATCACTTGGGTTTTGTACATGTGACAGCAGTGCTGATGGTAAATTTTTATTATTCATTGCTAGTTCCTTCTTTGTTGTTGGTTTTTTTTCATTTATAAGCAGGTGGGTTGGAGGGCTAGTGTTTCTGAAGGTTGTCTGGATATAAGCGAGTTGTTTTGGGTACCAATGTCGTCTGAGCGCAACTCGAAGCATCTGCGAACTTCGACTGTAGGATATTCCTCTTCAGGCAGTATACGCGGTTCGAATTGAATGCCAGGAATTTATTTATATGTATTGACTTATGAAACACCCCAATAACATATTTTTTCCGTTTCTTGCGGTTAGTGCGTCCAATGAAGTTTTGCTCGCTTCCATCTTAAATAAAATTTCTCCTGGATACACGGTATGAATGTGATACAAAAATCCGTGTCTTTTTCGTAGATGGCAAGTAAATGATTAAGGGCTTATTTAGTATCAGTGTCTGGCGTGGAGCATGTCAGTGTTTCTAGATGTTCCATAAAGAATTGTGCTAGAACTGCAGACAACGGATGAGTCATACATGAGCCATTGTTTTTCTTGCTGTATCTCGCCGTTAAGCCTGAAATGGCCGTATTCCACTAGACTGATTTTTAAGATGTCTACAATCGACTGAAAGACGCGAGCTACCTTCAACGACTGTGAAGATTTCTTTGAGTAGTAAGCTGGTAAGCAAATTCCTCGCGTCGTAGCTGACCATAACTAATCATTCCTCCTTTGACTTCCAAATGACGAACATACCTTGTGAATTCACTCAAGTTTTTGACATAGGGGAATTTATTTTCTCGGCGCCGTTGTAGAGTATTGGTTCTATTGGTAAAAATGAAGGGATGATGCTACTGCCTGAGACGATGCGCCTCATGGATGATACGGGTTCGTGAACCGTTGGTAAACTGTAAACAACCGGCGCGTTGATGTTGCTGTTACATTTCAACCTGTTCATTATCCGTTTTGCTTTTTCTTTTCAAGCTCGCTGTTGTTTTGGAAATTTATAACTTCCACGAGTTTCAATAACAGAGTATTGATAGGATTCTCAGGTATATGAAAGTAACCACGTGACGGCAGTTCATTACATTTGTTGATGTAGTCTCTTTATACAAACCGTGGCCTGTTTGTATCCGCCTGAGTAATTACGAGAAACGAATCTGTGCATGAATATGCCATGAAATATTGTTTTGGAAGAATCGTGTGCACGAATCAATGCTCTTTGGCGTACGGGATGAGTTTGTGAAAGAATCTATGCCTGCCGCAACTTCCCTTAGTAAATTGTAACGTTATGCGGAACTGTATTAGTTTAAACTTATGTTATGTGTGATAACTGTTCTACCGTT